AGTAGGCCTTTCACATAGTTATACACCATAAATACAAGAAAAATATACACAAAAGCAATATGAATCAACTGAGTCGTGAGTAGAAAATGTTTTAAGGGCGGTAGAAATGAAAATCTTGATCTAAAGAATTTTGGTTTATATTGTTTGAAAGTACTGTGAAGCTTTGTGAAACGTATACGTTCAGCTGATATAAATATTCAAATGCTATAAATATTCTACTATGGCAAGATTTGTGACACTATCTTTGTGAAAAAGTATTCAATTAAACACGTTGTCGTGATCATGGCAGGAATTATTTATATATTCATGAAAATAGAAAATATTGTGACTTGCATGTTAAAGAAATAGAACAGAAGAGTGGATATTATTATACTGAAATATGAAGATTATAAAACAGTTGTAAGTAGTATTGCAAACTATTAAGGTATCATAATTTTTCTGAATAAACGGGATAACTCCAGAAGTCGTCGGAATTCTGTTTTAATGTCTAAAGCTATCACTTCTGCCGATTCTTGTTTAATATTGTTATTCTGTATTTTGTACATAAAACATAACGTAATATTTTACCTAACGAAAGACGATTATATACTCCTGTTCTGTCGAATATTAGTGAGAAAGTTTTATTAAACTAAAGTTAGTTTTATTAAACTAAAAATCTACTATGCCTAGATGTATTATAGTAACTGTAACGAAAATTCCCATTGGACCAACCATACGGTATTCTTGTTCGGATTAGGATCGAAGAGGAAATGATCCTGTTGCCCCGTCTACCGATTTCAAATCTGTGTCGGCGCTCGACCGCCATTAATATTCTCGCGCGTTGCGCGAATCGCTTTACAACGCCAGGATACATTTATTGCGAATATTACACGAAGTTCAGGGTCAGTACGACCGGGAACTCGCGTGGAACGAGAGGAGGCTTGAGTTAGGCTGCGTGTCGACTGGAATGGTTTGCTGCGGAGAGTTGGTAGTGGACATGAGAGCAATCGTCTGACAAATTATCGCTTTAATAATTGTTGCTCTTACTATTCATAGGACAACTTATAAAAGTTTATTCAAAAATTGCTCTGCAGAATTTCTGTTGTGTGAATACATAGCATAAATTTTTAGAATTACATTCATGTGAATACGTGGCATAATTCGTTCTTATGTGGATACGCAACATAGTTCTCTTCAGTTAGTTTTATACTAATACGAAGCATAGTTTCCGAAAATTTCTCTGAAATGAGTACTTAACGTAATTTTTTGTTTACTCGCATGTTTATATCTAGCATAATTCTTGAATGTTAGTCCCATGTATACATATACAATCACTCGGAAAGTAAGTTAACGTCCGAGTGAACCTACTGAATACAACATTTCATCAAAATACTGTTAAAATAAACGTTTAATACGCTAATGAGTCTCTAATAAATGTCAAAAAAAATCACAAGAACGTTTCGATTCATAGCAATATAACGTTTATCATTGTTCCTGAATTAAAAGAATTAGAGGGGACTTAACTGACTTTTCGAGGCGCCTGTACGTCTGTACATAGTCCAACTATTCAATGTTATGCTCAAGTGATGTATTTACGTGTCCGCATGAGAGTAACATTAATAAATTATATTATGTATGCGGATATGATAGTACACTCACCTGGACGCGTAGCGCACCTTTTAACGATTAATCTCACGTGGATACGTATTATAAATCCAGCAAAAATTTATTTCCAATTAGAAGTGTTATATAATTCCGAAAAGTTATTCTTATGTTTCACGAATAGACATAATTCTCGAGAATTTACATTCTATATACATACATGTGATATAATTCTTTAACGTAATGTGGACACGCAGCGTAACACTGGATAATTAGAGTCCTGTGAATACTTAGCATAATTCTCAAGCCTTACAACCACGTGGAAACGTAGCATTAAGAGGATCAGCGGCCAAGTCTCGCGGTTGATCATCCCGAGGACCTCGCGCAAGGTAGATTAAGCCCAGGCTCGTCCCGCCGCAGGAAAGAAATATAGAAACGTAATCGCGCTCTCTATTTCGCATGCACGTGTTGTTGATGCGAATTCCGAATCGGTGTCGTGGCGATCGCGTTAACTAGCGTCGGTTAACGGCGCGATGGCGGATCGTTTCGCTCGTGACACGATACGCGAGATCTTTGCCCGCGGTCACGTAATCCCGTTTGTTTCAATGTTCTTTTTTTTTTTACATCAAGTATTGATAAAAAATTATGGTAAATAGCAGCTCTTCTGTTGTAATAAAAATGATAAAGAATGATTCAATAAAAGCGTTAGTTATTGAGCAACCGATCATTTTTCTATTTCAATATACAGTGGACTCTAACTATATTGCCACTAAATATATTGTCACGCGAAGCACTTCCCCCTCACTCGTACTTTCGATCACACAGATTCGAGCTCCAACCACGTTGCGTTACGCCGGCGCACCAGCACGCAAACAGCTTTTGCGCAGGCGCTGAGGCCAAGGCTATGACTATAAAACTTAGCATGGAGGGGGCTCTAAACTCATTGCCATTTTACTTCACCTGCAGCCCCAACCATGGCAATATAGTTAGAGTCCACTGTAATGTGCATAGGTAGCGGTTATAAAAATATCAAACAGATGACCACCCAGGTTCCTCTTGTAGGCTCCCATCTTTTTGCCACAAATATTTAAAATTATTAATGGCAATAGAGTTTGCGACACAACACTTGAAACAATTGCTTTATTACAACGCTTGTTGAGATCAAACACCGCAAGACTTTTTTCTTTGGGATTACATGGAGGACAAAATCTATGCTAACAATCCCAAATAAATTCTAGATCCGAAAAACAACATTCGAAGTGTTATCGCTGAAGTAGAGCCACATTTATGCGAAGATATTGTACAAAATTTCGACTAAAGGATAGTAACCTGCAAGAGGAATCGGGCCGACCATTTGTCTGATCATTGTTTGCTCAATAACTAATGCATTTTAGTAAAGTATTAAAACAAAATCTCTCCTTGAATCGCCTACTGCATTTATGAAAGCTTGTGTCGATTTGCAAATAGGTACCTACTGTATTTATGAATTGATGTCTTCTTTACATTACTAAAATGAGAATTTTATCTCAGAATCAGGGATCGAATGAAACTTATAAATAAGTTATCTGTTGAACTTTTCTATTTTCAATTCTTTCTCTTCTGTTTTATATCAATTTTGTACTTTAACACGTTAATTTTTTTTATAAAAGTGCAGTTATAACAGTTATTTTGTATTCCATTAATAAAAGTTATGAAGAATCACATACTTTTTAACAAATATTTTAAAGTCAAATATGATAATTAGAATTATGTTTTTAAATAACATTATTTAAGCATTTGAAAATTGGATAAATATAGAACAGAAAGCAAGTTGTGATTTTTTATATAATTATTGTTCTATTTTCTAACAGTAAAAGGGTAAATAATTACGCAGCAGCGACTGATGACTGCGTCGTGTGTCGATTCGCGGCAATTGTTCATTTATTTATACAACGAAAAATCTTGCTACAACTTCGACTTTTTCCAAGCGGAATAAATAATGCTAAGAAAATTTTAGCTTCCTAATACTAAGAAAATAAGAGTTTTCTACTTATGCAGAAATAAATGTTTCAGTAAATACACTTCATTTCATAATTGTTTTTCTTTTTGGAACAGAAAAGTTAATAGTGAAAAAAAAGGATTGTTATTTAACAGTTTCATTCGATTCCTGCTCAAAACATTGCCTAATTGATCCGAGCAACTCCCATTCAATTTATTTTTGACCAGTTCCGTAAAAAAGACTTCAAAAGGTGCCTGTTTTTTGAGCCTTCAGAGAGAGCAACCCCCTTAAACATCGACGCACCCCCTCCACAGGAATGTAAGCCAGTAAGAAATATTCGTCGAATATATTGGCATGATCAAGATCTGCAATCACAGTCAGTCGATGTGCCTTGTTCGTGAAGCACATCTATCGGTCAACTGTGTCATCCGACCGGGACAGGTTGAACATTGTCGAGCCTCGTTTATCCTCTCCGGGACCAACTGGAACGCCCTGTCACTCCCCCGGTAGTTGTTGCTGAATGTTTATTGCCGATGCATTCGGCCTCGCATTTGCATGATAACAGACTGCGTGTGTCATTACCTGTTGCTTCGATTCGTTGCGAATGCATAATTTGTGGCCGATATACTATAAGGTGATCGTGTTCGTACCACGTGTAAAAATTGCGAATTTTAAGTGTATGACATTTAAGATAAACAACTATGAATTAATTCACATTAATAGGTAGATTATGAGTGTTTATGAAAATTTAAATGTTTGTGGATTAATTTAAAAAATAGGAATTAAATGGAATCTTACTTCCTTCAGAAGTGGTTTTATGCGGTAAAACGAGAATACAGCGTGTTCTCAAATTTATCAAATTTTGAATGCATTGATTAGATTTACTGTGGGATCGGAATAATTTTTTAACGGAATTAAAACTTTGAACTTCCGAAATTCATTATGGCTGTCGACTCTTCAACATTACATACACTCCCGTCCATAAGTATTGGGGCACTTATCAAATGTGAAGTACATTTCGAAAATCATTACTAACTTATTCATAGTATTAAATACATGTTGTTCTGAGAAAATTAAAGTTAAGCAGTTGATATTTTACAGTAGTATATAATCATGAAAATAATGCATAATCCGTAATTTGTACGAATCGTTGCTTTATATACAACAAGTATCTTAATGTTTCATTTTCATCTGTTATTAAAGCTCAATGGCTAAGGATCTGGACATCATTATTTTTAGTGCGTTTAAGTGAATCACGTGTAACTAAACAAAGAATTAGATCGCTCTGTCTAGTCTGTAAAAAGTTTTTCTCCGAGATAGTAAACATTTCTGAATTTTGGTAAAATAACGAACATTTTATTGTACATTTATAGGAATTTCATGTTACAGTAATGGATGTATATTATACGATTCACGAGAACGTACTTAATTTATGTTTTAGAACTGGAATTGGTGAAATTGCCGGAAGACACGACCTTGGCAGGATTTACGCCATTAATGTCGAATCCGCAGGATCCCTGTTACTCCAAGAAGACTGACGACATGGTAAAAATTTCTTAGTATTTTTACTTTATTGAACAAAACTCTTTTCGATCGTGTCTCTAAGTTTTTTAAGTGAATACTGCTACTGTGCCTACATTTTCTAAACGAATTCTACTATCGTGTTTCTAATTTTTCTGACGGAATGTCTGCAATCTTAAAAACATAAAGCAAGCTTATTAGTATATAACAAAATTTTTAAGTAGGGTAAAATACAAAAGTTTCTTTATTTTAAGTATCTCGAAATAAAGAAAAGTGGACTTACACTACATATTTTAGAAAACAGGCTCATACATACATAATATAGGATACAATTTAAAATAATATAGTATAATATATTGTACATGCTATGTATAATAAATTAAAGGGCAACATAAATTCCGACTAATGCAACTTTATACTTTCAGTAATTGTGAATGAAGAAATCTGAAATCGGTTATTTTGACGGGTTTGACAGTTTTATGTTAAGACTTACAATTAGTGTTAAGAACATTGAAGGACGCCGTTTTCCATACGTCCCCCAATGTTTTTATTTTTATGATAAATTGCAGGACGTCGCTCAAGTGTGCCTCAGAATACAAAAGATTCTGTTTTTCGGGGAAGTGTATTTGTGCGGTCTCGAGACGCCGGTGTTGAAATTACAGAAGAACGAGGCAGGTGACATCGAATACGTCTCCGTGGTCGAGGCCTCGAGCATAAGTTTGCCCAGCTCACCCCCAGAACAGGTAAGTATCCGACTCAGGGTCTTTAATACTTTGATATAATAATATTTTGAAAAGAACGCCAAACAAAGATATTACACTAAATAGAGGGGTGGAGAAAATTGAGTTAACAGAACACGTTTTATACTGATGGCGCATAATATGTGGCGATCCAAGACTAAAAGATAAATGAAACATTTTACATACGTATGTAACTACAAGTTTTATCTAATTGAAACCAAGTGTTTACCACGGAGTTCTGCTCCTCAGAACAACTCTGAACAGTAACATTTTTAACTGGACATTTGTTTTATAAGGAGAAGTACTGGTTTCATAGATATAATGTACAAGCAGAAGTAATTATTGAATTACCATCAGAAGTTTTCATTGATATTCAACGATTACTACAGTATTTGTTACCCGAGATAATTACCTTCGTTTTTTATTATTATAACCTATAACTTATATAATTGTCTAAAATTATAACCCCAACTTTCTTTTCGGTATCTTTTGAGCAAAAGTTGAACTTCACGTTAAACAATATCAAATAAAACTTTAACGCAAACTTAAATGTTACAGCTATTATTTTCTCGTATAAATACTAATGGAAGCAATACTTTAAACGAAATTTCACAATTGATGTAACATATTTAACCCATTTGCATCAAACGTGAATATATCCGTTCATTTCACCTGGGCATTATCACTTAAATGGATGTACCTGCGATGAATCTAATATAACATAGGAATGTACACTAAATTTTAAGCGATGCTACTGCCTCTGATTGTAAGAATATTTTTCGTATTATTTTCATAGTCATTCATTTTCGTATCATTTACATAATCAATGAATCACTGTCGTTTCATTTAGATAACAATGAATCACTTTCGTGTCATTTACATATCAATGAATCACTTTCGTATCGTTTACATAATCAATCATTTTATTCGGTTATTGCATCATAAACGTCGATTTCGGACTGCAGTATTCCAGTGATTATAAATTACCATAAAATGAAGATTTTTAATGAAATTAAGGTCTATCCGAATTAACGTCCTTTTATTATCGAGTATATAAGTTCGTTTATCCCAATTTCGTTGAAACTAAAGTGGTTGAACTAAAACGCACTGAAAAATTATATTTATTATGTAACAATCTAATATAATCCAATGTCTTTTTGATTTGGGTTATATTTATGCCGATTCAATGTACAAACCTATGGACAATTCTACACATTATTCTGTTACGATTTTTCGCTGAAGGTGGATCGAATCATAAAAATCACCAGAGTTAAATTGGCATCATTATGTTTGATGTCGATTTGAAGAGATAAATAATAAATTTTCAAGTTTCTCAATGATTCCAATAGGTTCATAGAAAATCAAATTTCCTGATAATTAATAGCGAGCCTCAATCATAGTTCACAGTCCCAGGGTAATAAGTTGAATCGAAACTGCAACTCGATTTTCAGAGCGACTCGGAGCTTCTCGTCGAAAGTTACAGCGAGGGCGAGGATGAGCCGGTATCTACCTTGAAGAGATTACCGTCGTGCACGGACGTACCTGATGATATTACCGCGCCAATTGCTACGGTCGAGATAAGGTTAGAGTTGGGCAAAATTTGTATCTAAATAAAAATTTCGAATAACAAATAAAAGATAAAAAAACTTTATTCGTCATTCGAAGATCGAATAGAAAAAGTATCTTCATTCGAGGAGCGTCGAATGAGTAAATTTATTCGACGAAAACTATCCGACGAATAAAAGATACTTGTTTTACTCTAAGCGTTTTTGTCGTAGCGTCGAATAAAATTTTCATTTTTTATCTGTAACTCTTATTCGAAGGCTTCGCATAAACCTTTGAATAACTTCGGCAAACTCGAATAAACCAGAATGTCACGAATGAATTGAAGAGATTCTCCGGATTAAAATGAGTCCAAATTCGAGTGTAATTGAACAATTTTTACTCACACGTAATGTTGCGATAAAAATGATATATTATTGAAAATAGTCCGAATGATGTCGTGTGTCGATTCATTTTCACCGGCAGAATCTCTTCAATCCGTTCCTGACACTTTCATCAAAATATATTGAAAATTGTAAAAGTGTAAATTTTCATTTATATGTGATTTCTTATCTCATCTGCGTCTGTTTAGATGAAAATTTTATTCGACGCTACGAATAAAACGCTTCGAATAAAACAAGTATGTTTTATTCGTCGGATAATCCTCGTCGAATGAAGATACTTTTTTAATGTGAATTTCGGATAACAAATAAAGATAAAGTATCTTTTACTCGAACCGTTATTTAAATAATTTTTTATCTAAATAATGCCCATCTCTGGATAAGGTCGTTGATCGAGAGGAAAGAGGAACTGGAAAGACGGCAACGGAAGCAGGATCGTCATCGACAACGGGTACAGGTGAGTGAAAACCATATAACTATTAGAAGCTATGTTACTATATTTGCTTATTTGATGCTCAACATGTAGGATTATCTACAGATTCACTTGACCATTGACCAACTATCTGTGTATTGGGTTAGTACAATAGTTTTTATGGATTTTGCTCTAAAAGCGTAGACTAATAATGAATCTAATGATAATTTAGTCATAATTTACTGAAATACATGATTCTTTATAGCGCGTGCATTTACAATGGATTACAATTATACACATTTTTGTGTTATAAACAAGTTGTATTCTTGACAATTTGTTAGCACCATATTATTGTACATAAAATACCATAATAATTCTTTTGTGATGGTAGTTTTCGTAAAAATCGGTAAATATTACCAACTTTGAGAGGTTGTATTGTTTAAACAATTTCGAAACCACCAAAATGATAAATTAACCCCTCCTTATTTTCACGTGAGGTGTAACATATCTCAATTTGAACAAAATCCCAGACATCGTGTCCAAAAGTGATCCGCTTGGCCTGGAATGACCCATACTCTTTTATTCTGAGTACAATAAAACAATTACATGAAAATTACAACTTCATTTCTTTTCTGTACTTCTAGAAAATAATTCCAACTTGATTTCTTTTCTGTATTTCTAAAAAATAATTCCAACTTTTATATTTTGCCTTAAAATATCTGTTAAAAAATACCTACATGATTCTTCAGGACTTTTATTAATGGAATACAAAATGACTGTTATAACTGAGCTTTTATAAGAGAGTTAACATGTTACTGTATAAAGTTAACAAAACCGAAAAGAAATAATTGGAAAGATAAAAGTTCAGTAAATATCTTTTATTCCTAGGAGTTAACAGTTTCATTCGATCCCTGGCTTCAAGAATTACTATTTCTTTGAAAGTCTAAACGATTTCACTTCAATTCTGGATCAGTGTGCGTCATTTGACGGTGAATTACGCAATGTAGGTAATTGCAAAGCTCCATTTTCTCCATTTTTTACATACAGTACCTACACAGATTTTTCTCTCGACCCAATTGCTTTTTAGAATTTTATTTCTTTTTAAAAGGATTATCTTAAACCAACAATCCACAAGGCTCTTCAGTTTCCCTTACCCGTCCCATTCTATTCGCGAGGGACTCGCGACCAGTCGACCGTAAAACAGAATCGACACTTCTAAAGTTAACCTGGCTCGGCCCGAATCTTCTATAAATAGAGACGTCAGCCCAATATCGCGGTCCAATGGTTCTCCAACCCGAGATATCCGGGCGACCGTTTCCTCGCGGTCGGTCCTTTATCTTCATCGTTTCTCCCTGGTCCACCGAAAGGACCGACAAAATGGCCGTCGAAAGAAAGAAAGAAAGAAAGAAAGAAAGAAAAATACGTGTTCATAGTGCTAAGTCGAACTAAATCAAGAGATTACCAGGACACGTCGGTGCATAGTGTTGCTTCTTTCGTCCCTATCCCTTTCACGACGCTATTCTTTCTTCTCGCTTCTATCCCCCCCTTCTGTGTCGTCCTTTTATTTCGGGGTTCTAACTCCCTCGGCGACGTGGCACGCAAGCCCGCCGTTTTTATTTACGGCATCGACGATTCTCCTTTTTGCATATTTATTATCGAACCCATGCTCGGGGCTGGATTTCGTGAGCGCTGTGCGCGGCCCTCCATCTTCCCGCCCCCGGCTCGCTAAAAAATATTTTTCTCTCAAATGAGCCGCACAAGAAAGAAAAAGAAATCGCTACGTCCGCTCGCGTCTTTTATTATTATTCTTTCGGTTCGGATTACTTTAGAATATACGCAGTGGTGAATACTTAAGGTATTCCTTAGATAAATAAAAAGATAATATTTTATGCTCTTTTTATTCTGAATTGTTTACAAGTTAACAACCATAGAAATCAAAGTAAAGGAACAATGTAACCAACATTGTTGTATTATTTAAATTAAGTTAACATTAAACTTTGATGTGTGATTTTAACGGGACATTGAATGACAGCCAGCACGTAGGTCGTTTTTTACAACTTTTTAATCTGAGGTTATAATGAAAATTTAATAAATACATATCGAAGATTTATGTTAGTTATTACATACTGAAACTTTCACTGAAATCGGTTGATACAGAAACGAGCGGCAGGCATCAAAAGATGTAGAAATTGTTAGATTTACTACAGTAGGGCGAAAGTCGGGAAAAACTGTGATTTTCAACATTTTTAATCGTTTGTATCTCGTAGGTACGTTAACCGATTTTGATGAAATTTTCAACATGAATACGACTAACATAAATCTTCGATATGTATTTATTGAATTTCTATTATAACCTCAGATTAAAAAGTTGTAAAAAACGACCTTAACTATTTTCTTCGCGATTCCAACCGATGGCAACTTTTTCAATTTTTTTTACACATAATTTAGTAAACTAATGTCCCTAACTTCACAGAATAACTCAAGTCACTTGGGCCAATTTTAAAAAAGTTGTTACGTTTTAAAGGGTGTACGAATACTTTTGTCCGGTACTGTATATTTAATATAAGCATCAAAACACTCAGGAATATTGGCACAAGCCTTGTGAGCCCATCCTTGGCAGCTTGAGCATTGAATCCAGTCTTCAGTATTGCTCTCTAAGCAAACTACACAGACAGTTTCTTTGTTTGTAGTTTTCGGTGTCAATACTTGAATTTTGTTTTTGTCTTAGATTTTGTACTTGATTTAGATGTCTTCTTAAATTTAATTCCCAAGTTTATCTTCTGTTCGTTAACTGTTTCGGATTGGAATAGTCAAACACATAGTCAGTGTCTCATACTACGTTTTTTACGGATTTTTCTTTTGCATGAACGGGGTCTGGTCATTTTTATTGGACAGTCGAAGGGGTTAATGTCAGGGTAGATGAAGGAGAGAATGCGAGGCGTTAAGAATTTTATCTTAACCGTCGGAGTCCGGATCCTCCGAGAATGTCGGAGACGGATCAAAATGACCCAGAATATACATGTGTAGATTATGTTATTCCTTCATCATTACTTTTTTAAAATTTGTTTTTAAATAATATAGGTATATAATAATAGGGAGGATATAAATTTATATGTTTGTAATATTTATTATGTTTCGTTAATGCACTTTGTATATGAAACAGTTTGACGAAAAAGTCATACCCTAACGCTTTGCTCGATGCTGCTCGAGTGACTGGACAAGCGTCCAACGACTACGCAATTAGTATTCTCATGTACCAGTAAATAAACTCGGTAATTTGGACATTAAAAGAAAAAGGTTTTATTAAAACAAAGTTGGTATCAATTCTGCAGACTTTAATAAGTTCAAGAAACCTTTACTTAATAGAAACACACGAATTATTTATTATTTACGAGTTTAAGAAATACCCTCTCAATATTAGCGAAACATTTACGAAGGCATTCATATCGTCTCAAGTTTATGATTACTAAATGATAATATTTTTATATGATTTATGATAAGAAATAACTAACGATAATCATTTTCTATCCTGAAGTTCGCTATTATTAAAAAAATTTAATATTAACAAAAATTCAATTTTTTTTTTTCACCGGGACATTTACCTTATGTTCGTTCTCGCCTGGCACCATTCGAATTATTCTCTCGCTCCACCTGCGTTTTCGTTCCCGTGAAATGAGATACAAAATAAATTCGGCAGTATTTGCTGAATTTCTGCGGGAACGGTTTTATCAGAGGCCGGGTTGGTTTGGGAACACGAGAATATCATCCCGAGTATAAAGTTACCCCAGTGGACATGGCACGATAGACGGTCAGCGCTGACAAGTGTGCTGTGTTTCCGTGCCGAAATAAAGGATACTTTTGATATCCCGCCGCTACATGTCTCTCGGTAGTCCGTGTCTGATCGGCTCGGGCGCCATTGTATCGCCGTTCGTTCTTCTCTTCTGTAACCCCAAGCCCCCCCCCCCTTTTTTTTCGACGTACAGATGTTCCCTACTTTTTATGAGCCCTGATAAGCAAACGTCGCGTCCACCTTGTAGTACGATATCGGTTATAGTCGCTCGAGGCGGAGATTCCCGAATGAAATTCTCCTCTAACGGCCGAAGTAACTTAGCCGTGGCGAACGAAGGGTAGATCTACGCTGTTCGTAATGTATCAACAAGCGATTGAACTGGAAGATCGACTATTATCGCTGTTGCTTTATTTTTTCGTCGATCAGGTCAACGCGGTTCCTTTACTTATGGTACGACGCATGGTGGTCCTTTATCCTGAAATGCTGGCCAAAATTCATGACTGTATTGGATTTTCATAAAAATCGGTATTCTCATGTTTCTGGGGTTGCTAAATTCGAATACCTCGTCAAAAATGCATAATTCGGACAATTTTATTTTGTTCGATTTTCATGAAAAATTCGGCATTTCTACGTTTAGCAGGTCATGTGTATAGTTTAAATATGTTATTAAAGTAATAATAAACAAAGTAAGAATTATAAATTTGTTTGAAATAAGAAAGTGCTATTTCACTTATTTCGTGCGTAAAAGCGAATACTAGTTGAGTACATACATGCAATATTTATTATAGCTAAATCCGATAATCGGGGGTCATAAGATTTAACATGGAGTTTATTTAGGCTTTTGTTATTAATAATTGATTACAGAAAACTGTTCCCACAAACCAAAAAATTGCGGACCTAAAAGTCTTCTTCTCAGTTGTACCACAATTTTCGGACCACGCTGTACAAAAGATACTTTATAAGGGTAGTTCTTTACCCTAGTAAAAAAGATAATACCAGAATCGGATTCTAAACCACAAACAACCATTAAATATTCATTGTTATAATTTTGTTTATATCTACCATAAGTTTCAAGATATACAGAAAAATAGGAGCACATATTAACCTTTAACGGTTATTTTCACCCAGAAGAACCAAAAAATAGCAAAAACAATTTGTCAAACGCTTCTATGAGGGCACCTACAGACCAGTAAATTTTCAAAGAAAGAACTGGAATTTTCATGTTATCAAAATTATCTCGTCAGTAGATGTTAGT